TCGTTCCGGCCCCCGCGGCTCTGCCGCTGTTGCGTGCGGTCCGGAGCCGCTACACCCTGCGGGTGACACCAGCGAGTGTCGTTGTGAATCCTGCCCTGAGGGCGCTTCCGAAAGCCCCTCCCCTCAAAAAACCCCAGCTACGAATATAGGTGTGAACGCTACCGCGCAGCGACTCCGAATCCTGACAGCCACCGAGGGGCCTGCCGCAGTGGGGGCCTGGCGCAGGCAGGGCGGCGGGTAGAGGGGAAGTCGCCTGGGAATGAAATGTGATGAGCTTTTGGTGGTGAATCCTGCCCTGAGGGCGCTTCCGAAAGCCCCTCCCCTCAAAAAACCCCAGCTACGAATATAGGTGTGAACGCTACCGCGCAGCGACTCCGAATCCTGACAGCCACCGAGGGGCCTGCCGCAGTGGGGGCCTGGCGCAGGCAGGGCGGCGGGTAGAGGGGAAGTCGCCTGGGAATGAAATGTGATGAGCTTTTGGTGGCAGCGGTTAACAAGTTTCACTGTGTCCTCGAGCTGGTTCAGCCGGGTGAAAACAACGTTGATTTAAAAACACCACACAAATGTCCCGAGAGTGCTGTCCCAACGTGTAGCGTTTAATTGTGTTCCCATCCGCGCTGTTTACTTTTTACCTTTCATTCAGCTGACCAGTGAAAACATACTGGTCAGTTTCACTTTCCACCTCTGATGTTCTTTGCTGAAAATGTTACCGCACTAGGGACACATTCAAAACGTTTAACAACAGTTTTAAAGTTAAAAGGAAGAATAGCATTACATTTTCGTAAAACTTTACAGAGCCTAAATATTGAGCCTAAACTAGGTGGAGGTATCCACTTAATATAAGTCTTGCGACAAAGCTGAGTAAATCCACTTGTAGGGTTGTCATGTTTAGATATTTTTCCTGGGTAAATTTAGAAGTATTCAGAACATGCAGTTCATCCAAGTCCTGTCACTGCAACGAATGAATTGCAGGATCTACAGTGAATGAATTACCCGGATTTGTAGTATTAAAGATTCTGGTTTAGTGTTGCATAGATATTTACGTCAGTCTTTTTAACATAATGCTGTAGCACTGAAGCTGATCTGCTGACAATCGTGACTGCCAACTGGATCAATAAATAAAATGTGTCAGCACAATAGGCATTCATTAGCTCAATGTTTCTCAACCCCCCTTTTTTTTATATATAAAATACCTCTTTAAAAAAATAATGTTAAGTTCTCCCAGTACTTACAGTTTTCAGACACACACAATTTTTTTCTACCATTGCAACATAGTTGTTTAAACCACTTAATCATAGCTGCGTGGGTGATGAAATTTTTGGGTGTGAAAAGTACAAAAATAATAAAACGCTGTAAAACTTAAAACTTCAGTTTTCTCCAAATTTCAGTTGTGTTAATGTTCCCCTCAGACTTCTCTTGAGTACCCCCTAAGGGTACTCGCACAACTGGTTGAGAAACACTGCACTAGCTTATGATATCAAAAATAATTTTGATTATTCATATAAATGTCTTGGTATTAAGTGAATCCTTCATTATGGCTCCTGGATTTTTTCCACTGAAACTTAGTTTAGGCATGTGTGTGCATGCATTACTTATAGTTAAAGTACACTATTTTACAGTAACTAACAATGAGTCAAATTAAATAGAAAAATATTAAGCATGGTGCCTGAATGCTTATTTTCTGGTTATTGTATATTAATCTGAGTAGGGTTTGGGTGAAACTCTCTAGGGTATTCTAAAGTATAATATTTTTAAAACTGCATGTTTCCTTAAGTATGTTATTTGACTAAGATTATTTAAGTTAATTTAAAACAATATTTTTAATTCTTTACGCTGTTTAATTCTGCACTCTTGCTTACTTCAAACAGTAAAATATGGTCACTTTTGCTTTCTGAGGATAGTCAGTTTTGATTTGATTTTTAGGCATTTACACAAATGGTGCCATGTTTACATTTCGATACTTTAGGGAATGTTTAATATGAAACTTGAGATTTTAAAATGTCATAAAATTATAATTAGTTGGGATAAAATCTTTTTTCTTCAATAAAGGGCCTATATTTTGGACGTAATTTAGCAAATAGTTCCATTTTAACTATTAATTATTCTAAAATGGCCAGAATGTCAGCTATTTTTCTGTAGACATTTTGTTCTAAGACAGTAAATTTTTTAGTCTATTGTCTAATCATATTAAATTATTTTACAGCAAGAGTAGTGGCAGTATATATTTGCTATTAATGGTAGTTAGGAAAGAAGGACATATGATTAACCTTATGCACTTGAGGACTCCTGTTAAATTTATTGGGATTACTTGTTTGCCGGTGTTTTTAAGATTGGGTCATAAATTGTAAACTCCTTGGGATCAGGACTATATCTTTTTCTGTGTTTGTACAGTGTCTAGCAAAATGAGCTATTCTGAGTGGCACCTATAAATAACTAAATAAAAATAACTAAATAAAAATATTACATGCGACTTAATATATTTTTCAAAATGTTTAACAACAGTTTTAAAATTAAAATAAAATATAGCCTTACACTTTATAGAACTTAAATACTGAACCTAAACTAGGTGGTGGTATCTACTTAATATAAGTCTTGGGACAAAATTGAGTAAATCCACTTGTAGCGTTGTCATATTTAGATATTTTTACTGGGTAAATTTAGAAGTATTCAGAGCATGTGGTTCACCCATGTTCTGTCACTACACTCAATGAATTGCAGGATCTAGGCTCGGATTTGTAGTATTAAAGAATCTGCTTTAGTGTTGCATAGATATTTACTTCAATCTTTTTACCATAATGCTATAGCGTTGAAATTAGTATCTATATTTATGGTTTAATATTTAAACATCAGTTCATTATGTATTTCGTAAATATGCTGTTTGAAAAAAAAATCAAAGCAACTAAAAACAATCGCTTAGTTTTACAGCAGGAGAGTTATTTCTTCATTTTCATGACCTCCCAACAAAAATCATAATTTAGGGCCCTACCAAATTCATGGTCCATTTTGGTAAATTTCATGGACATAGGATTTTAAAAATGGTTCATGTCATGATTTCAGATATTTAACTTTGTAACTTCATGGTGTGTAATTGAAGTAGTTGTGTAAGAGTCACAGTTGATCTTCTGGAGTTCGATTAGCGTGTCTAGTAGAAACTCGCTAATTCAAACTAAGAGGGCATCCCTGCTGGTCAATACCGGTAGCCCTTCTTTTCATGAGGAATAAGGGAAGCCATTGGAAGTGTTTGCTCCCATTGACTTCCTGCTGTGTGGACAGCGCCAAAATGCAATTTAAGATACGTCGACTTCAGCTGTATAATTAACATATCTGGAGTTGCGTATCTTAAGTTGACCTTTTCCTTTAATGTAGATCTGGCCTTACTCAGTAGCTGGCATACTCTGACTACTCAGCTCTGAAAGCAGCAGTACAGAGGTAAGGGTGACCTGAGATGGTATTACCATCCTTTTCTTCTTCCCAGCTGCTGGCAGAATGCTGCCTTCAGAGCTGGGCATCCGGCCAACATTACAACCACCACTCTCCAGTTGCCCAGCTCTGAAGGCAGCACAGAAGTAAGGGTGGCAATACCATGATGCTCCTAAAATAAACTTATGATCCCTCTGCAACTTCCTGTTGCACCAGGACCTCCTATTTGAGAAATGCTGGTCTCCCCCATGAAATCTGTAGGGTAAAAGCTCACAAAAGGCTAAATTTCATGGGAGGACACCAGATTTCACAGTCCATGACACATTTTGCATGGCTGTGAATTTGAAAGGGCTTTAATCATAATCAAATGAATTTCCCTAATAGAATGAATTAATAGAAATGTTACATTTATTAATCTTGCAGCTTATGATGTACCATACCAATATTTTGTCTGAAGCAGGAGATCCAAAGACTCCTTTTAGCAGACTAAGGCCCCAATCCCACTCACAATTGGGACATGCTTAATTTTAAGGAAGAGTAGTGACATTGAAATTAGTGGAACTCTTCATATGCTTAAAGTTAACCATGTTTAGTGCAGGATTGGGGCATAAATTGTTCACCTGGACTTTGGGTTAAAGCCAAACTTCATTGAGGTCAGTGGTAAAAGCTCCCATATACTTCTATAGCATCAGGATTTCATCCCAGGTGCCAGCCATAGTGTCTCTCAGAACCTTTTGAGAAGGGGTGGGCAAGATATAGCCTGCGGGCCAAGTTTGGCCCACCAAGCCATTAGATCTGGCCCTCAGGTGCTCTGCTGACCCTAGGTCAATCAAGACCTAGGAGCAGGGGAGTGTACAAAGTCATTCGCTGTTCAAAGTGGCTGGTGGGTGTGTAGAGGGAGGCAGCAGCCATCTTGAATAACGAATGACTTCGTGCACGCCCCTGCCCCTGGGTCTCGATTGGCTGGGAGTAGGAGAGTGCACGAAGTCTCCTTCCCCCACCAGGGGCACACGGCGCCTAGAGGGAACTGCCCCTTCTGCTCAAGGCCTCATCCTTTCCGGAGGTGGTCCGTGACCACTATCCACAATTTGTAAAGGGGAAAAATTATTGCCCATCCCTGCTCTTGAGAATTAAAATACAAAATTGAAAAGAATGCAGTGCCAATAAAATGAACAGCGTACTGCTGAGGAAAAATAGGATAAATGAAGTATTCAGTCAGAAATGAAGTATTCTGTCAGAAAACCACAAATCCCTAGGCTAGGACACTGGTTGGAGCTAGTTGCAGTATAAGAACTCAAAGAACTCCAAAAGAACAAAAAAAGCAAAATAGAGTTTGAACTTTCTATGTTCCTGTTCAGTTTTATCTAAGCATGAAAACCAGATCACTGTCTTATCGGAATATTTAGAAGAATTTCCAGAAACAGATGGGTCAGTGTGGATCTTGGGAAGGCAACACCACCTCAAGACAGGTATGTTTGTAATGAAAATCCAGCTATAACTTTCATAGTTGATAAGCCATATTTCCTCAGTGTTCATAACAATATCATTGCATGAATCTCTTCAAACAAAAATAAACTCACTTCTAAAAAGTAGATGTACAGGGCTCAACAAACTATAGAACCTACTCACCCGTGGTGAGTAGATTTCAGCCGTGCGCCCCGTTTATCTGTGGCGCGCACATGCGCAATGCGGGGCTGGCGAGCAGCTTTCGCCACCGTTTGTCAAGCCCTGAATATATATACGATGGTGGTCACCCTAATATAAAATTAGTTGGCAGGAGGGTTACCAAAGCAGAGTGCAGCATCTATCTGTCAGGCTTCGTCTAAACTGCAGAGTTTTTGCGGAAGAAGCCTTTTGCGCAAAAGTTTTTGTGCAAAAACTTCTTCCGTAAAAATGCGTCCACACCTCAAAGCGCATCGCTTTTGCAATGAGCTTTTGCGCAAGAAAGCGTCCACACTGAATGGACACGCTTGCGCAAGAAAGCTCTGATTACCATTCATAGAATGGCTATCAGAACACCTGTGCTTTTCCCGATAGGGGTTTCTTGCACAAGAAATCCCTGCGGAGTGTCCACACTTGCCTGTTTGCGCATGAACTCTTGCACAAAAAGGAGTTATTCCTAGTGGGGAGAGGAATAACTCTACTGGCAAAAGACCTCTCTCCTGCTGATTTACTTGTGCAAAAGTGCGCTTGAGGTGTGGACGCTCCGCAGGTTTTTGTGCAAAATCCTTATAGTGTAGACGTAGCCTCAGAGTTTCTGCAAACTGGGCTTGCTTACTTGTAGGTTAGCCTCGCATGATTATTTCTAGTCATCAAATGCTCAGGGAATAGATAGATGACTTTTTAAGAACGTTTAATACCTCTGATCCTGTCTGCTAGGAGGAAAATATTTTTTACATAGTAACTTCCCACCAAAAAAAATGAAGTCCTGAAAATCCCCTTTAAAGTTTCTCCTATAAGAAAAGAGTAGGCAGCTGGGTATCTACTGTAGCTCATTTTAAAACTAGATGTGGTGGTCCAGCAAATATCAGTTATATCCCTAGTAACTTTGTAAATTAGAAGCATACCCTGAGGCCACATGCTTGCTTTAATTTTAAATTGCATTTTAAAATACAAAGCAAAGGCAACGAATAGACAAGAGTGTCAGGAGACCAACCAATCAAGTCTGTACAGTAGTTCAGACAACAACAAATCCACTATGCTGGATTAATTTAATTTCTTACAGCCTGATATTTTCAGTTGAAATGGGCTTTAAGAAGTAAATAGTAAAAATTGACTTTTATCTTTTGGATGCATTTTCTGATATCATTTGATAAAAATATGTACTTTCCCAGAAGTCCCTGCCCCTGCAATCTGCAGTGTACTGTAATTGTAACATAATACCCTAGCACACAGGAATGAGAATTCAGGACTGGTTTTTGTTCCTTGAAGAGTGTGTGGGGTGGAACCTTTTGTTGCACTTACTGGATCCTGACAGCAGACTCAGTAGTGGTGTTGATGGGCACTAGGTGCCATGTATAGCTGTGACTGAAGAATCCTGATAATGGCTGGATGGATGTCAGCCTGATCTAATAAGGGGATAAATACAGTAAATAGATCCTCAAGAATTGTAGAGTACCTTTGAGAGAATCCTGGAAATGAAAAAGAAAAAAGTTTTAATTTTTAAAATTAGAGAGATTAAAAATGGCGAACACTAAACTTTGTCTACTGGGATACGGAGCAGATCTTAGTCAATGTCCAGACACTCCCCTTAGGAAAGGACAGGTGGAAGAAGACAACATATGGCTTTCCAAATTAGCAAGGTCTACTCCTGAGATTTTCAGTGGAACTGGATGCATCTTTGGGTATTTCCAGCATGTCATCGCTTTCAAACAAAGGCCCAATATTGTTGTCTGTATTACTGTCATGGTTAGGAGCTCTAGTCAATATCTACCTGTAGTTTTTGTGGTTTTTCTTTCCCAATGAGTAGCAAGATTCTCCTTGGTCTGTTTGGACATGGTGCCAACCAATGTCTGTGGTATTCAGGGTTAACATTCTCTAAGGCTGGAATTCCTTGCAAATGTGAGTAAGAAGATACCATGGAAAATGGACATTACACTTTTTGTCCCTGCAAGCCTTGTCCCTTTAAATGCAGAGGAGGGTTCAGTGGATGAAGAAGGGACTATGCTCTTAGGCTCATCCTTCCTTCTTCAGACTAAAATTGGTCCCTTTTAATAGACATTCTCTAAGTTTCTTATCCTATGGCATAATTTTGTTCAGAGGGGATATTTCTGCATAGCTGTAGCATTTCAAGTTTAGCTTAGCTACTCTGTTAACCTTTGATGGTTAATAATTACTTTATGCTTACCCAATAGATTTTTGTTAAGTTTGCATATGTAAAGTGCTTTGAATATTAAATGTGATACATAAGAGTTATTTTTGTAACTCTTGAAAATAAATAGACATCTCCTGCATATTCTGTATGTTGTGTTAATGCCAAATGTGCTTTGCAGTTAGGAATTGTATTAAATATTGCTTTATTTTTTAATTGCCAGACAAACCTAAATTATTGTTGGATATAAGTGCTCGTCTGTGGTTTACGTACAGAAGAAAATTTTCACCTATTGGTGGGTATGCGTTAGGGTAAACAGCCCAATTTTTCTGTATCTCTGTCTTGTTGGAAATTAAAATTGTGAGAAGAATCAAAGTATTGTATATGAACTCCTAAATTATTAGAAGCTTCAGGGGGTAGCCGAGTTAGTCTGTAACAGGAAAAACTTAAAAAACAACAAATAGTCTAGTATCACTTTAAAGACTAACAAAACATGTAGAGGGTATCATGAGCTTTCGTAGGCACAACCCACTTCTACTTTGAGCTCTTTCTGAAAGCAAAAAGGAGCTAATGGGCTAAATTCTTTAGTACTGAAAGCTGTGCTCACTTGTTCAGTAGAGAACTTGGTCCTTGTGTTTATACTAACAGAGGAAATCATTTGAGAAACATTCACAAGCTAATGGGGGATGCACAGAAAATCTGTTGTGCAAATAATGTTTAACCTGTTAAATCCTTTTAAGTATATGAATAAATGTTAAAGGGAAAAGAACCACCTACTTGAACTTTATGGTTAAATTGATTTCACAAATCATCACCAAATAATTTTTTCAGTTACATAGGTTATGGGATCAGTAATGGATACAGAGCCACTAGGCTGCAAGTTTAAATCTAATGCAGGGGGGTAGAGCTCTAAACCTGTTGTTTCATGGTCTCTGCTATGATTGCAAAAACCACTACCACAGTTGGCATGACTGACAACACTATTGGCAGTTTTACTAAAAAGTAAGTACCATTCACCACTGAAAGTAGTCTTTCCAATGCAGAGTTAAGACGATTTCATGGTCATTGTCCATGCTCTGCCTGTTCTGTTGATAGATTCCCAGGGTAGTCAATTCAGTAACTTTCTCCAGCATTAAATTAAATAGAAACAAAAGAATCTCTTGGAATTTCCCATAGAATCCACTTCTTGATGCTTAAAAATCAAAGCAGTTAGTTAAATCTAATTTATATTTCTAGCTCTTATGATTCTGAAAAAAGCCTTAAAACATAAACAAATAGAAAATATTGTCTTCCTGAATCTACAGACAGTCTGAAGCAATAGCTGTGACCTTTCCTAATAATCCTAATAGATTCTAATTATTTCACTACATCCAACAGGTGTTCTTAGCTCCACAGTCCCAGATTGTGTCCAATGTTTCACCAGATACCAAAATCTGTACAGGCAGTCCCCGGGTTACGTACAAGATAGGGACTGTAGGTTTGTTCTTAAGTTGAATCTGTATGTAAGTCGGAACTGGCGTCAGCCGCTGCTGAAACTGATCAGTTTCAACCGTGGCTGAATCTGGATGCCAGTTCTGACTTACATACAGATTTAACTTAAGAAACCCAGGCGTCCCCAAGTCAGCTGCTGCTGAAACTGATCAGCGGCTGATTCCAGGAAGCCTGGGGCAGAGCAACTCTGCCTCGGGCTTCCGGAGCAAAGCCTTGGAGCACGCCTGCAGCGGGACAGCCCAGGCGCGCCTGGGCTGCCCCGCAGCCCCAGCCCCTCTGCGGCTTTGCTCCGCGTCTTCCTGGTCTGCAGACCAGGGAGACGCGGAGCAGCGTTTCTCCGCCCCGGC